TGGCTTTATATAAGTATGATTGTACTATTAGTATATGACTCATGGTTATATATAGAATGTTATGCAAGCAAAATTTACAAAGCAATACTACTACACTATAATTTCACCTATCTTCTTTATTTCTCTAATCAAAACATTATATCGGTAACACCATAACAAATATACTTAGTATAAATTTTGTTATTAGATCTTTTAGTATCATTGTGTTAAGGAAAAATTGCGGAAAATAAAAACAACCTTTAGGCAATTATTTTTTTAATAATACAACCTTTTGATTAAGTCTTAATAATATAACCTTTGGGGGGTATCAATTTTAAACAAGACAAAACCGTTTGCTATCCTGCTTTTACAGGTTTCCATAACACGTGTCACAATTTTATTGGTTTTGTTAATTTATTTAATTAATTTATTATTAATATTATTAAAGATTTTTTTTTTAAAAAAAAAAAAAATCTAAGCACCCAGCCACCACCTATCCCTCCCCCCAAATGTACAACCACCTCCCCTCCCCACTCCACCACGCGTAGCGACTGTATAGCCGCCCTCTCTCCCTTACCCTGACCTCCCCCTTCCCCCGTGCGCCACCCAAGTACGACCAGGCAGAACCCTAATCCCCAAAATCTTACCTCCTCTTAGTTGGAGCGTTTTGCGCAGCTGTTGTTCGATTTGGATAGAGTGTTTGATGTGTTTGGTTGTTCGAATTGAAGCGTTTGATGAGTGTGGATGAGAATCGGTGATTGCGGGTAGAGGTGTGAATTGGTTGCTGTTGTTTCGTGTGCTACTGAAGGTAAGGTGTTGGTCGCGGTGGAGCTGGTCGCGGTAAGTCGATGAAAGGGGAAAGGGGTGGTACGACATGCGGTGGTGGAGCTGGGCGCCAGCCGTACCGTTGTCGATAAAGTTTTCGTTGCGTGTGGGGGAGGGGGAGCTAGAGGAGGTGGCTGGAAGGTGGGAGATATGGTGGCTGGCTAGGTCGGGGAGAAGAGGAGGATAGGTGGGTTTTTTTTTCTTTCTTTTTTTTTTTCATTTAATTTGCTAAAATAATATTAATTACAAATAATGTCTTAATTAGGAATTAATTTAATTTTAAACACTTTATTTTAAAAGTTAAAATTATTTTTTTAAATTAATATTCTGACCAATTACATGACAACATGTGCCATGGGTAACCGGTTTTAAAGGTTACAAGTTTTTTGTCTTGTTTAAAATTGACACCCCCTAAAGGTTATATTATTAAGACTTAATCAAAATGTTGTATTATTAAAAAAGAATCGCCTAAAGGTTGTATTATTTTCCGCAATTTTTCCTTGTGTAAAATATACTAGATGGAAGCCCGTGCGATGCATGATTTTTTTTATACATATCTGAGAAGATTATTTTCATAATGTTAAAAGATATTTTTTATCATAAAATTTAAATTCTAAATAACTATTCGTAGTTTTATACTCTATTTTAAAGTATCTCATTATCATCGGATATTAGGATTAAATTTTTAATGTGAAAAGATATTATTTTGTTTTTTAAATTATATATCCTCTTTGAACTTTTGTTTGTATAACGAAAATGTGTTGTTCATCTATACATATATAGATATAGAATCACTATTTTTCTTTCACAAACAATAACTTAGACCATCATTATTCTTTTCCCTCGTATCAACTTTATACGATGTAAAATTAATAAATTAAACCCAAAACTATATGGTAAAATAAAGACGGTGGGAGAAATTGTACGAAAATATGAATTTATAAATTTTTAAATAGTTAAATGAAAAATATATACCAAGAGTGTTGCATTACTGAAATTAATCTAATTGAATAAAATTAAATTTTTATAATGAACTTTCATTATCACATTTGATTGCTTGATATGAAACTATTACTCAATCAATCTTTAGAATATAGAAGTTGCCCAAAAAAAATTATAATAAGATAAGTAGTATACTAATATCATGATTTTTTGAACGAATGAAGCGTAGCATGAGCATAATAATGTGTACAAATCATTAGTATCATCCCTAATGAAAAACTAAAGTGTTAAAAAGTTAATCATTACTCTGCAAAATAAATCTAGAAGGTTGATATAAACCTCAACCTTTTATGACAATATTAATTTCCATCCACCAAAATATTGAAATCAATGACCCAACCAATGGTGAGCTAAATAACGTTTATATGGGGTGAGTCCAATAGTGAGCTAAAAAAAACATTTATAAGGGTAAGTGGACTGAGATGGGAAGTCAGTGATGAGCTAAATAAACGTTTATATGGGATGAGTCCAATGGTGAGCTAAAGAAACGTTTATAAGGGTGAGTGGGAATGGGATGGGAAGTGCCAGGTTTATATAGGGTGTTTGACTTTAACTATGTGCTATCATGAAATTCATGATAGACTTTATAAAATTCTATCAAGAAAATCATTTTTTTTTATTCTCATATCATGATAGACTTCATAAATTATACCTTGTAAATCAATTTTGTTTAATTTTTTTTTTGTATTATCTAAAAATGAATAGATTTGTTTTCTACTTATTTAATCTTTAGATTATATTATATATATTCTGTTTTTTAAATTATATTTTGCTATGTATGGAATATCATAAATCAATTACCCTACTTTATCATCTATTAATTAAATTCTCAAAAAAAAAAAAATATTTTTTTGCTTTATATCCAAAAACGTTTATGTTAATGTATGCAATATCATTGTGCTAAATCAACCTACTTTATCATCTATTAATTAAATTCTCAAAAAAGTCTATTTTTTGTTAAAAAATTTGTGTTATATTTTTAATTTACTTATCTATGTTAACTTACAAAAATTATCTAATTTATTTTAATTTATAATAATGCTTGAATGTAAACTCTCAATCGTTAATTTTGCTTATGTGCCAATATATTTTTTTAATTCTAAAATAAACTGTAAATCTATTTTTTCATTGGTCGAAATAATGACTTTGCTTATGTGGCGCTCCAAATGCTCTTGAAAAATGCCTACTTTATTTATATATACTAGATGTAAGCCCGTGCGAAGCACGATTTTTAAATATTTCATTTTGTATATTTTTTTTTGTAATTTCTTAACATTTTTTGTTTTTTTTTCTATTCTATTATTTTAACATTAATTTAAGGTAAAATATTTTGTTAAGTTTTAAATTATTCTTTTTCAAATTTTACGTTTATATAGAACTTGAATTTATAAATTGAAATAAATATTATCTCATTCATCGGAAAGTTAGATAAAATCATTAAACCAAAATATATTTTTTAATTTCTAATTATTTTTTAAAATAATATAAATCCTAATGTAAAAGGTAATATAATTTTTTTTTATTCATAATTTAAATCTTAAATTACTATTTTTTGTTTTTAATTCTCAAATTTCATTTGTTAATTTTTTCTTAAATGGCGACTGAAAATTAAAATTCTAAATTAATATATAAATATAATTTTTCATTGGTCGAAATATTACTTTTGCTTATGTGGTGTGCGATGCACGAATTTTTATATACATTTTGTATATAAATATATTTTGGTGATCTCTTAATTAACATCAAATGATAATTTATATTTTTTAAATATCAAAATATAATTTTTAGTTTTTTAAATAATATATATCCTAATATCTAAAGATAATTTTTAGTCTTGTAACAAATAAAAATGATAAAATTTAGTGTTCTCAAATAATTAAAATCCTAATAAATTACTATTCGTTGTTTTTACCTACATGACAAAAATTTAAAATTTCTTTCGTCATTTTTGTTTAGGTGGCGAGTGATTTTTTTAATTCTAAAATAAAATAGAAATCTAATTTTTAATTGGTAAAAAATATGTCTTTTCTTATGTGGCGCTCCCAATGCTTTCCAAAAATGCCTACTTTATATATATATATATATATACTAGATATAAGCCCGTGCGATGCACGATTCTAATAAATTATTTTATTAAATACAGTATAACATATTGTATATTTATGAAGATCGTTCAAGAAATATAAATTTGAATAAAATTCCTAATATCATAAGATAATTTTTTTAATTTTAACATTATATGTCGTTATTTTATATATTTAATGTGGCGCTTGAATTAAAAATCCCAATCTTTATTCATTAATTTTGCTTAGGTGACAATTTAAATTTTTTTATTCAAAAAATGAAAAATCTTTTTTTTATTGGTTAAAATAAATCCTTTGCTTATGCGTTTTTTTTATATACTCGTTTTGTTTTAAAATGTTAGTATCACTTAAAATCTTTTAATTATTAAAAATTTGGGGGAATCTTCTAAATTTCTCTCTAACATAGTCATATGAGATTTAGTTTTATCCGTTTCGATGAGTACATAATTAATATGTAATCTTTATAATATTTGCTAGGGAGAGATTAAAGATAGTTGCGATCAAAGATTTGCATCCATATATGTAAAAAATATAATTATTAGTTTTTTTTTAAAAAGTTTAAATTTTAATTATTTACTATTCGTTGTTTTTACATGTGTGGCAAAATTCTTAAATCTTATTCGTCACTTTTTTTCGTAGGTGGCGAGTGAATTTTTTAATCCTAAAATAAATTATTAATCTAATTTTTCATTGGTCAAAATAATACCTTTTCTTATGTGGCGCTCCAAATGCTCTCCAAAAATGCCTACTTTATTTATATATATTAGATTAGATTAGATTTTCTCCGTTTTCTTTTACTTGCAACACTTCCCTAAAAAGGAAATATCACAATACTTGCAACACATTATGAAAGGAAAATTACTTTAGGAAAAATTATACTAATTCCTTATTTAAAGCACATGGGCCACTAAATTACACTCCTAACAACCACTCATCTTATTTTAAAGTTTATTATATCATGTTAACCCCAGCTTTGTTAATTAACGCGCAAAAAGGTGTGTTGCATCTAAAAGAAAACGGAGGAAGTATATCTCAAAGAGATGAAATGACAAAGCTACCCTTATTAAATAAAATGACAAAACCATCCATAATTTACAAATTCATAAACTGCGTGTTCCTCGTTTCTTCCTCTTTGGATCATTTCCACGTTTACGCTTAGTCGCTTCATCCCTCCTCTTTCTCCTCCATTGAAGCGTACTCTGAGATCGCCATTAAAGCGTACTCTGAGGTCTCCATTGAAGCGGCTTGTGAGCTTTATCTGCTCCATTGAAACAGTTTCCGACGTAAGTTGTTTTTTTAAATCATCGAACTTCAATTTCGCATTCTAGGGTTTATCATCAATTTAATTAAGTACAGTCAATTTAGGGTTTTCCTAAGGTGGATTATTAAACTATTGGTAAATTTCTAAATTTATGAACAAATTAAACCTGCGATTTTGTTGCTAGAATTTTTCTATTCATTTTTTTGCCAGAAGAAGTTATCGTTATTGTCGAACCAACTTTGATAATTCAGTCAATTTTTGTTGCTAATTGAAATCTATCATGTTGATCATTTATTTGTAGTATTCTATGACATATTTTTGCAAATTTTAGTTTGTTGTGTTGAATTAAATGATCATTGTTGATCTAGATGATTGGTTGTCCCAGATATCCTGAATGTAGATACTTTTTGTGTATGTGTAGAATCAGTTGAGATTGTATTTCGAAGATGAATCAGAAAGGATTGATTTACAGCTTTGTAGCGAAGGGAACGGTGGTTCTAGCCGAACATACTTCGTATTCTGGGAACTTTAGCACCATAGCTGTCCAATGTTTGCAGAAATTGCCTTCAACCGGCAACAAGTACACTTACACGTGTGATGGCCATACATTCAACTTTCTCATTGACAATGAATTTGGTAATATTGCCTGAAGTGTGTTTGTGCTTTTTTTGTTTGATATATCCTTGGAGAAAGTTAATTGTAATGTGTTGAATGTGTTTTAGTGTTTCTTGTGGTTGCCGATGAGGGTGTTGGAAGGAGTCTTCCTTTTGTTTTCCTGGAGCGGGTGAAGGATGATTTCAAACAGAAGTATGCTGGAAGTATTAAAACTGGTGATGCTCACCCCCTCGCTGATGAAAATGATTCTGATGATGATTTGTTTGAAGATCGATTCAGTATTGCTTACAACCTTGACCGGGAATTTGGGTGTGTATAAACTTATCATTTTTGTATTATTGTTTCTTGGCTTCATTTGGTTCATTTTTAATGCATGGTAGTTGCCAGTTGGTGAACCACCATGGTAGTGGCTCTTTGTAACCATTATTTCCTTTGAATGCAGGCCTAGGCTTAAGGAGCACATGCAATATTGCATGAACCATCCTGAGGAAATGAGTAGGCTTTCCAAGGTGAAGGCTCAAATTTCAGAGGTCAAAGGAATAATGATGGATAATATTGAGAAGGTAGATACTTTACACTTTAATTATATCATGGCTATTTTTTTCCTCTACCTTTTAAAAATAAGTAATTGAATGCATTTGAAGTCGAAAAATATGGTACTACCCTTCTTTGAATAAGTAGTTTCATGGTCTCTAACTTAGGATTGCTAGTTTTTACGTAGATATTTATAATAAGCCTATTACCAGGTTGCTAATGAGCTACTTGTGAACTACTCTAAAGCCGGCTCAAGTTCGGCTTGAGATCTTAACGAGCCAAACTCAAGTTATCCTTGGCTTGGTTAGAGAGCTTGTAAGCAAGCTACAGATTTCTACTATTCAAAAAAAAAAAAAAGCAACAGATTTCTTAGTTTTAAGTATTTTCTTTAAAGTTTATTGACAAACACTAAAAGTTGCTGTGTGACTTAGAGAGTTAGAGTCTCACATTGGTTGAATAACATAGGATAAGGGGGCTTATAAAATCTAACAATTTTGACTTTTGAGTGATGATAATTACCATTGATCCATTAAAAAGTGTTCTACTTACATTGTATAATATGTCTACAACATGGGCATTTTCTATTCCCAATCCATTGCCAAAAATGTTGCTCCCATTTTACACGTCATCTATCCTTCCTTGAATCCCAATATCCTCTCATGAAAAAGCTTGAAAGACCTCATATACTATATCAATGGAAGAATATTATCCATTAACAGAGAAATTGAATCTTATTCTCAACCAAATATTACTTTAGTGATAAAAGGGCATACTAACCCTTTATTAGTTTTCTCTGTTCTTAAAACAGATAATTGTAAACCCCAAAAATTCTCTTTAATTCTTCACCCAACTCTCCATATAGTCTTTGAACCCCTTCAATATATATATATATATATATATATATATATATTTGCATTTTCAAGTGCTAAAGCTTCAACTTTGTGGCACTAGGTTTTTAACAATGGTGATCCCCTATGTTACTTGGACTCAGATGAAGTGTCAAATTAGACACGGGTGTCCAAGCATTGGACTCGCCCATTTTCTTGATAAAAGTTGTGTTTTAAGTTAAAAATGAAGTGTCCAAGTGTCGTGTCCAACACGTGTCGTGTCGACACGGACACGTGAGGTAAATGAAAAAGTCCGAGTAACATAGGTGATCCCAGTTCTCTGCTTCTTTTCTCTTTTTCCAACAAGCTAGTCACCATATTTAGGCTTTCTCCAATTACACCAGCTAAACGTCTTACCAGCAAAATTTTATTTGGCTGAATAGCTGAGATACTGAAAATGAGTTACTTATTACTTGTGTTAGAGACTTAAGAGTCCACCTAGGCTAGGAAGAATGGGGAGGAAATTAGGATTAGTTATTTAAACAATGTATCTGTGACGTCATTTGGGCATTAACTTTTACTACTTTATGCCTGATTAAGCTTTGCTGTTTTCGGCCTTGATCAAATAATCTTGGACTAGTCTATCAAACTTGGGCTGAGTGGGGTTATTGATTATGTAAGTTGCGATCTCCAAGTTAAGCTGCTTGAGCCCGTACATATTTGGTCTAGGGGCAAACAATATGAATTGACCAAAGTGGAAATAAAATGAGACAAACCAAATCTAGAAGCAATTCTAATTGAGTTGAAAACTTAACCTATAACATTATTTAGGAATTGTTAAGATGGTAGCGATTATATAGTACATACATGGGTTCTAGATTTATTTTTGGTTGGAGCTTAGGCTTGTGGATGTTATTCCATTTCTGTCCTGTCCTGATGTGAAATTATGGTTAAGTTGTTAAATTACTTAATTGTCTTGAGAATATATATTAATAACAAATAGTCTCAGCTCTCTAACTGCTGTTTACACTAATTGTGTAGAAAAGAGATACAATAAGGCCCCAAATAGTGTATTAGCATTTAACAGGCAAAATTTGATGACCATATTTGTAGATAAACGTATGATTACCAAACATCTTTATCAGCCAAGAATCGGCAAAATAGATAGTTTTTATCTATGACAAGAAATGAAGAAAGCATATTCTCTTGCAGATTATTTCATCTGCCTAAGCGAAAGATAGTTAACCACCCCCCACCCCCCCCCCTCTTTTTTTTTTTTTTTTTTTTTTACCAACCTTATTGTATGTTCTTTTTTGTTTTTGCTGTGTGTGTGTGCGCGCGCATGCGTAATCTTCTTGAAAACCGGTTGTTTAAATTACAAGTTTTTGAGATTTTCCAAAACCATCTCGCTTCTTTACATTTCATTGAATTAATGGATACTCCATCAATTTTCTTTTAAATGCATCACTTTGATTAGCATATTTGCCAAGACACAACTTTGAACATAAATTTCTTTTATTGCCTATTATTGAAAACTATTGAAAAAAAAAAAATAGAAATTTAGTAATTAGACATTTATTTATTATATATAAAATAAAAAATATAAGTAAAAGTTAGTACTTGAATAGTGCACAAGTTAAAGTAATGCATTTAAAAGAAAACAAAGGGAGTATAATTCTATTCTATGTTATTTTAGTCTTCCATTTCCATACCCATGTTGGACACTTGACACTCCAAGTAGGTTATGGAAATATGGAATCCTTACCCTACACTTTAATGCTCACTTAATTATTTTGAACCAAATTATTGTAGAAGAAAAATGTAAAAAAGAAGGAGCTCAAAGAAGTGAAAGAAGAATGTGTGCTATGTGCGATATGTGCTCACATATTCTTCAAATAAATAAGCATTTCAGTATGATTTCAATCAAGTGATTTTAAAATTTGTTATGTTGTTGTAAGTTAGGATTTATTCAAAAAGTCCCGTATAAACAGGAATATGAAAAAGTCAGGGTCATGTCAAATGCTTGGACATGTAGCCACAATGCCACATGACATTCATACCTGATTCTCTTTAACATTGACTCTATCTGCTCATTTCCTTTTACTGCCTCCTAGTGCTATTAAGATTATCCTTTTTCCAGCTCTTGATCCGTAGAGTTTCATTTCATGTATGTGCTTAAATTAAAGCATTGGACAAGTATGAATTTCATTTTTTATTTGATTTCAGAAGATACTGAACACTTTTACTTATTCTGATGTTTTACTTGCTTACATTGAACTTTGTTGTATAGTTCTCTGCTTCTGAAAAATTTGTGGTAATTTGAAACCAATATAAAAACCTTTAGGAAGAATTTTTTTAAATTTTTAAAAGATAATCAATTAAAATATTTGATCCACCTTATTTACTACCGCAGTATATGCCTTGTGCATGATACGTTGCAGTATTAACCATATTAACATTTGAAAGTTTACCAACTCATACAACAGAGGGACTATAGCGTAGGGAAGATTTTGACATGACATCTTACTGCTTCACCCTCTTTCATCTTATGCGAGTTGGAAGAATGTTTATCCTTTTATTGACATCAATTGATGTCCTGATTTTTCTGAGGCGCTAAAGGTAATTCAGGACAATTATTACACTGTCAATATTTTATGAGCCTATGTGTCTTTTAATGGGTCATTTTGATCTATTGAGTATTTAGTTGTTTCAATAGACATAATGAAATGTATGATGTTGCATATGATTTAGCTTCAAGTTCCTATGATCTCTCTTCTAAATGTATAATAGGCTCGCCTACCTTCAAATTCAAAGGGCAATTATAATTAAAAATTGCCACACATCTACATGGCACATATTATTGACCTTTCATCTACAAATTCATTGACAGTATGGGTTGTAGTATCTATTTGCTCAATCCATATGGTGAACTGGGACTTCATGCACTTCAGGAATTTCCTAGTTTCTTGACTTACTGGTTCTCTGACTTTTCTCAATGTGTTGATGTGATCTCTATTCTGAAAAAACAGTGTTAGTGTTCTAGGTGATATAAATAATAGAAAGGAAAGGGAGAGTAAAGGAAGAAGAAGCATTTGAGCTCTTTCATTTTCGTTACATGTTGCAAGAAAAAGAATTTGTATGTTATCCTTGGCCTTCTTGCTGCTGTTGGATGGCGAAATGGCTGAGTGAATATCTTGGCTTGATCAACATGGTAAATAAGAATTTTGCACACGATGTAGGTGATTCGCATCAACAATTGAAGCTAAGCAGTATTCTACCTACTTTTGCAATTGGCCCCCATGTAGTGATTCTCCCATTAGAAATTTTTTCAAGGTTCTGGGAGCTAAGCACTGTAAGCAGTGGCCTACCTACATTTGCAAAATTGCAGTAGCCTACCTGCTTTCTGTTGTAACTGCTTTTACCCAATGACAGGGGAATTATGATTAGATTTTGTTATCTTTTGCTGTCATTGGGCAACATAAAATTATGCAAAAATCTGGAAGTTGATCTCTGTAAATTTAGGAAGAAAATAACCCAAGGAAAAGAAATACAAGTAATTAAATTGTACTGATTACAAAAATGCTATGACTTGCTTATGATTAATGATTTTATAGAGATTTCTTCCATTGTATAATGTTGAGTTTATGAACTGTTTACTGATTGTATAAAATTCATGCTATGATACTATGACTTCCATCTGTTTAGATCAATGCATTGAGTACTACTGTACTATATGCAGAGTCTGCAAACTTTCTGCTCTACCTAGACTACTTTTCTGATTTCCCCCGTCCCAGGATTCCCACTACACATCTTTCTTTCTCTCAGAGGGAGTTGAGTGGCATGGATTATCATTGTTTCCTTGATATTTCATCATTTTATTTCTTTTTGATCCTGTTAGGTTCTGGATCGTGGGGAGAAGATTGAACTCCTTGTGGATAAGACCGAAAATCTTCAGTTTCAGGTATGTTTAAGAATTCTTATGATTGTCTTGTTCTTAATTTTTGTTGATATAAAACTTCTCTGACCATCTTAATTCTTATGACTGTCTTGATCTTAAATTTTGTTGATGTAAAACTCTCTCTGACCATGTGCTTGTCTGCACAGGCTGATAGCTTCCAGAGGCAGGGCAGGCAGTTGCGGCGGAAGATGTGGTTTCAGAACGTTCAACTGAAATTAATCGTTGGAGGTTCCATTATTGCCTTTATCCTCATAGTGTGGGTGGTAGCATGCCGAGGGTTCAAATGTTGATACTTGACTATTTGGGGAGCAAATCAAGACTGGATCCTAAACTCCACAGTTGCAGTCTCGTAGTTACCTTATTTGACCTTTTTTCTCTCCTTGTACAAAACTTAAAGAAAAATTGACAATAGAAAGGGGTCATGAACTTGTGTATTCTGTAAATGAAGTAATGTGTTGACTGCTGAAATGTATTGTTCTGATGTTTACCGTAAGTTTTTAGAAGACGTTACTATCTGATGTTTACCGTAAGGTTTTAGAAGACGTTACTATCTGATGTATTTTTAATTTGTAATGTCTATGGTAGCAAATCTTGAATACATTGACAAATAAGAAGGATGAGCCATTTACTCATACTCTACTACCCCCGTTTCCTAAATCTGCAACAAATTCTCTTTTACATTTTCCAAGACAAAATTCTTAAGCAAAGATTAGTAAAAAAGGGCATGTGATTAATTAGATGAGATAGAAAATAGACACCACCACCCACCCACCTTGTAACCCAGCCTCCCACCACCACTAAGATGAGAAACCCCAAAACCCACCCAAGAAACACCACCACTACCACCAATCAGCTTGAACCACAACCCAAAACCCCCACAACCAACTCGACCAGCCACCCATCAACTCTCACCACCCCCCGAACGACCCACCCAACCAACCAACCCGACCAGAACCCACCCAACCAACGAACCCACCCAAGCAACCCGACCAACCGACTACCAACAAACCCACCCAACGAACAGATACAACCACCTTACCACCTTCCACAAACCAAAACCCCAACAAACCACCACTAATTTAGATCTAAAACCCCAACAAACCACTAATAATTTAAATCTCAAACCACAACTTACCACCATCCAATTTCGATTTTGAAAAGGGGTGAACTTTGAAAAGGGGAAAAGAGGGGCGGCGGCGGCGACGGCAGCGAACTTGCGAGGGTGTTGGTTGTTGAGAGGGAGGAGAGAGAAAAATTGGTGGTGGTTGAGAGGGAGGAGAGAGAAAAATTGGTGGTGTTGGTGGTGAACGTGGTTTTGAAGGAGGAGAGAGAAGGTGAGTTAGAGTTTTAAGTATGGATAAATTAATTTGGGTTAAAAAGTTAATAGGTTGTTTACAGAAATTAAGTAAATATAGTAAGGGTATAACAGTAAATTTACACCAAAAATTACTATATTAGGATTTTTTTTTTTTTTTTTTTTTTTTTTTTGCACATATATGTTTTATGTTGGGTCCACTAGGTGAGAAAATGAATTAAATATTTTTAAGGGTTTCCAAATAAGGAAATGGAGCAAGTATTTAAAAACGACCGGAAAAAAAAAGTTGAACAAGTATTTAAAAACAAAGGGAGTACTTAAATACTGCGTAAAATAATAAGTACATTATTATGTTCAAGCGTAACCTAGTGGTTGAAAAATTGCTTTTAATATCAAAGGTCACATGTTTAATTATCTTGTCCAACATCTATTCCACCCCCTCCCCCCACCACACCATATATCATCCAAAATACCAAAAAACAAATTAAGCTTATCGTGAAAACTGCAAGATTACGCAATAAGCAAGATTACTTTTCTAGTATAGTGCATACACATCTTTTACTATATCCACGTGTAATAAAATTTCAAAGTTTCGCTATTCATTTTGTAAAAGAAGTGGATGAAATCGTATTTGTCAAAGGCTTTAAGTAATGACCTATTTACAAATTTTTAGATAATTTTTCTTATGGGTTCGGAATCACTAAACACATTTTTTGTACACATAGTTTCATCCAAAATAACAATTATAAGGATTGATAACTAATAATTTAGGTGTGCACATGTAAAAAGACTTTTTTCAAACCCTTAAATCCTTTATCCTTGTATTAAACTCAAAATGACTATGCCTAGGTATTGAGAGTTCCCCTATCATTTTCTACATAGTTACAACTCTCATCTACTATACAACCACACTCCATCACTTGTACTTCATTTTATAATCACTTGCACCCACTTCATCACTACCACTTGTCCGATCACTTCACATAGCCATAACTATTGATCGGCCACCACCATTACCAACAACTTACCAAAATCGGGTTTGATATGTTGGAGGCTTCTTATTTAGTACTCAAATTCATATTTACTCATGGAGTGGTTGTGGGAGAAGAGGAAAATGATAATGTTGTTCATCTATTATGGGTGGATGTTGAGAAGTGCCCCGTTGTTGTACCTGCATAGTCATGGTAGCAGGGAAAGGGAGGAGAAAGAGGTTCTTTTTCCCAACATTTTATAAGTTCCCGTTCTTCATTTCTTTCCCCTTGTTACTATTTCTTATATACATTCCTTTTCCTATAATGAACCAAACAACCCCTAAGAATTATAACACATGAAAGATAATACTACCTCCTATTCATAAAATCTGCATCAATTATCCAAAACGGAAGCTACACATTATCTCTCTTCCAATTCTCTCAACTACTTTTGTTTTTTGCAACTTTTTATTCTTTCCCCTACTCCATTACCTCCATATTTTATTCATTTCTCTAATTTCGCTTAAAACTTCGCGCATGGAGAAACTGAGCAAGTATTTTAAAACGGAGGGAGTAAATTTTAATTAATTTGAACCCATTTGTGTGTGTGTGTGTGTGTTGTATAGGATTATAGGACACAAGGTAGTTTCTGTTAGTGACTAGTATAGTTAAAAGTCAATTACTAAAGCATAATGTAAAAATTGTAAAAAATAATACAAACTTTGAGCGGTCCGCTAAAAACAAGTCAAACTTTTGATTATTTCTAAATAATATAAACCTTAGTGGGTGTTCGCTTTAAACAAGTTATTTAACCTGCAACCTGAATAATCGGTTAATTTTTTTTATTTTTTTGGTAAATTACTTCATTTAATAATGTACTTAACTTTTAATAACAACTTTAATGATTGTTAATTAACAATAAAATATTTTTATATTTGAAAAAAAAATAATTAAAATGTTTTAAATGTATTCTCAAAAAATTATATATATATATAAACCATCTCCCCCACCACTCCACCAGCCACCACCGGCGCCAGCTCCCCAAATCCCACTCCCCAGTGCCAACACCGGCCTCCCCTCCCCCACACTTCACCCATTCCCTCTTCCCGGGTCGGGGTTGGCTGAACCACCAAAATCCTTCCCTCCAAACCCCCGAACTCCCTCCAAACCCCAATCCTGGCAACGCCCATCCCCTCTCTCACCGGACCTACGCCCTTCCTCCCACCCCTATTGCCAGCCGTCGCTCCTCCCCTTCCCCCCGAAACAACTTTTCCAAATCCCCTCCCTCTCCACGAAACTCCCTAACAACTCCTTCCCTCACCTCTAAAACCCCAACTGTCCTTCCTTTCACCCTCGAAAACCCTAGCCGCTAGGTTTTCAAGGGTGAGGATAGGGAAATTTATTGGGGTTTGGTGGTGGGAGAAGGAGTATGTAACGATTATCATGGGGTTGTGGGAGTCGGGTGGGTAATAGGAGGGGGCAGGATGCTAGTGTCGACTTTTCCGACGCGAGGAGTAGGCTGTGGCGCTAGCTGGTGGTCGGTGGAGGGCCAGACGGCCGGGAAGAGTTGCTGGCAGCCTTGACAGGGAGGTTGTAGGGAATATTTCAAGCATTATCCCTAGCTTGAACCCCACTGTGATCATACACTTAAGCATGGTGGCGTCCAAAGGCACTACTACATTTTTGATCTATTGCAACCCCTAATTCCGTTGCGTTAAGCATCAAAATCCGTGGCATTAGGTCTACTGCAACGGCCATGTACCGTGGCATCTGCTGGCGTTGCAGTAGGTCTAATGCCACGGTATTTGACACCTAATGCCACGATATCTATGATCCGTTGCGTTAGCTTAATACCTGATGCTACGACATAATTTATCCGTGACAATAGATTACTAACTAATAATTATGATGAAATTGGCACCTAATGCAACAGATGAAGCGTTGTATAGAGTATGTATCTACTGCAACGGTATTATTATTATTATTATTATTATTATTACTTATTTTTTTTAGAATGGAACGGTAATATAAAATATATGTGTTCGTTATATTACTTGTAAATCACTAATTAGTCTCTACAAATCTAAATACACTAACAACATAAACAAAAAATCATTAAATTTATACATAATAATTATCACTAGTAGAAAAAACGCATTAGGCAGCGGTTCAAAACCGGTCTAAGGCACCGGTTTGAACCGCTGCCTATGTGGGGGGTGCCAAATACCCCCTTTATAGCACCGGTTCAAAACCGGTGCCATATATCCAATTAGGCACCGGTTAACCGGTGCCAAAAATGTAAGAAAATATTTATTTCATTGGTTTTGGCACCGGTTAACCGGTGCCAAAACTGCCCAATTTTTTTTTTTTTTTTTTGTTGCCTTTAAATCAACTAAAATAAATTAGAACATCAAAATATAAATTAGAACAAGTGCAAAAGACAATGAGATGGAGTATATCAATATATTAAGCTGTTATTGTACAATACAAAAAAAAAATAAAAAAATACAATGAATTATAATCATACAATAAAATTCAACGTTAAATTGATATTGAAAAATACAAATAAAAAATACAACATCAAAAACAATATTCCAAAATCAAAGTCTTGAATCGTTGTGCATCAATTAACACCTGCATCAATTAAAACCCATAAATCAATAAAACTCACAAAAAAAAATGCAAAAAAAAAACCAGAAAACTCATGTACGAACTCAAAAATCAAAATAATTTACTGTAATAAATAGATAACCAAACAAAACGCAAAAAAATCGAAACACAATTAACCACAAAATTTTCGAAATCAATTAAATGCAAAATTTTCGAAATCAATTAAACTCAGAACCCAGAAAATCAATTTCGAAAATCAATTAAACGAAAAAAAAAAATTCAAAATCAATTTCGAAATCAATTAAACTCAGAATCCAGAAAAATCAATTAAAATTATTCCCAAAATTTTCGAAATCAATTAAACTCAGAACCCAGAAAAATCAATTAAAATTATTCCCAAAATTTTCGAAATCAATTAAAACTCAGAACCCATAAAAATCAATTTCGAAAATCAATTAAACGCAAAAAAAAATTCAAAATCATCCCAGAAAATTCAAAAATCAATTAAACCCATCAATTTCGAACAATATTACAACAATCAAACCAAAAAAAATCAAGGCATTTACCAAAAATAATCAAACCCAGAAACCCTTACCTCAAATATTAAACCCAGAAACATGCAGGTGGCGGCGGTGGTTAGTAGCGGTGGTATGGTGGGCAAAAGACAGAAGGGAGAAGAAAGGTCGGAGAAGAGGGGGGAAAGAAGAGGAGAGCGAGATCAGACAGAGAAGGAGGACAATAGAGAAGAGATCTGAGGTTTCGCACGTTGTGGTCGGAGAGATCGAGAAGGAAGATGATAGAGAAGAGAGGAGAGAGAAGGAGGAGAGAGGCAGCTAATTAATAATAAGGAGAATGAAGCTGAGTTAGTTCTCTAGGGTTAGGAATACAATTATAATATAGATAAGTTGATCGGTTTTTTTTTTTTTTAAAATCTAACAAGGGCACCGGTTCAAACCGGTGCCTTTTTTATTTTTGGCACCGGTTCATGTTGAACCGGTGCCTTTTCTCTTTTGGTAAAAACCCGCCCAATTCTAGACCGGTTTTGGGCACCGGTTTAGACTGAACCGGTGCCATATGGGGGGTGCCTAATGCTTTTTTTTCTACTAGTGTATAATGCTAATAAATACGTACATTACAAAAATATTACTTGCTTGTTTTCGGTATTACACCCTACTAATAAACTAAAGTTATATAATTGATTTAATTGTCCAAAATACAAATTCCAACATATATGTAAGCCGGATTTTCTAAATCTTCACAAACTTGAACTTAATAGAATAGAAGTCGCCAACATATTTGCACCACTTGTGTTAGATGACTAGTCGTTTAGTCACTCTACTTCATCTCCATTTTGCTCGCCATGCACCTACACGTAAAATAGAATAAAATAATAGAACTAAATAATAGAAAATAATTGAACTAAATCAAGGAAACTCATAAAGCACAGTACAACAATTGTATTATTTCAGATGACAGAGGAATTGGAACGAAAACCTTAATAAAAGTAAAGCAATGTTAGAGCCTAGAAAAGCAAAGTCCGATTTAAGAGACGTATACCAGTGACCTCGCACCTCTACACCAAGGTCTTAACAGTACAATGCCCTTGTCCCTGTTCGAACACTAAGCAAATCAAGACCTGGGCTTGACATCCTTCAGGACTCAGGAAAACGTCCTAACCCTAAGTTCAAACCCATCATCTTTCAAAAAAAAAAGTTAAAACCCATCATGACCTGATCATAAATTCAGCTTAAATCTAACATCATGCTGGAATTTTCGTCAATGCTCAACAAGACAAAAATTACAATATTTGAGGCCCAATGCAAATCAATGTAAGCAACCAATCATAACAAGCATACCAGTAAAAGCATAATAAACGATTATTCAAAATTATAAAAATTAAAAAGAATCAACCTGGTCAATTGCACAAGGAATCAAACACCGAACATTATCTTGGCCAGCAAATAGGTGAGGGAATGAACTGGAAAAGGCAGGAGCTGCCTCAATTGTTGGAAAAAAAAAATACTTTGCCAATGTTATCTTCATTAGTAAAACAATTGTAGTATTTCATAACTAACTATTGCTTTTGACATATTATGAAAGTGATGTGTGATGAATCAAGAGCAGACCGTACAACCACCAATGCCCATTTCTAAGTTTATAATGACTCATTAACCATCAGTGTTAGCTACAAGAAATATCAGTAGTTATCCAACTATATTTTTGTTTAGCTTCACAAAAGAAATTTCATCATTATATATATGGATACTTAATCTAGTGCTCTGTTATCCATAGGAAACACATGATCTCTCAAGTTTGAACATCAATTTCCCAAAAGTAGGACTAAAGTCTAATCTGCACAGGACACACATGACCTCTCAAGTCTTTATACTTAATGTTCTGCTCACTTCCAAACAGAATTCTGAAGACATAAATAGAAGACAAACATATCCTCAGAAACAACAAAGCAAATTAAAACAACTTTCCAGTGAAGAATATTCCGAATACTTACTCATCAAGAATAGGGTCAGACCTACATTGGAGGAGAAAACAGGACACCAATTGAAGGAAGTTTTAGGGATCAACACCGAGAGTCAACTCAACATTTTGGAGTAAGAAAAAAAAAAGCAGAAAATCAAATGAACTAGAAGAAAAATTCCATGAAGAGAGTGATAGCCTAAAGCTATCTTGTGAACTGCTATTCTTTTGTATTGCTGCATGGAACGTTTATTTAATAAAATCAAGCTTGATTTCTGCCATATCCTTGTGTGTGTGTGTTTTTTGTGATTGATCCAGGTTGAAAGCCAGTCCATTTCAAATAAAACGCAGCAGCAAACAAAAGCTAGACATAATCAGTAGAAAATAATATATGTTACCTGATTGATTGTGGCTCCAGATTTAGAAGATTGCCCATTTTGGTCAACGAGAAGATGTGGCGCACTAGATGCATCCTTTGGAGCCGATGGAATTGCAAAATCAGGAATGACAAGATTGATCCCGGGGTTAGCATCCCGAAGTTGAGTCAAAATTGCAGTTGTTACACTTGGTGCAAGTTGTTGTACTATTTGAGCTTGCATATTTTCTAAGAATTCCGCCGGGAATATGAAATCTGACTTGTTTTCCTTTTTCTTCAAATCTGACTTTTTCACACCTTTTCCTTGTAGGCGTACACGACTTTTGCGCTTAGGTTCTGGAATGACTTCGGAGTAACGGTCATTAGAGTTACTACCATCTTCATGTTGGGAAGACTCCAAAGCATCCATTTTAGCCTACATTAGGAAAATAAAGCCACCTACTTATTATTTTTCAAAATAAAACAAATATAACATAAATCTAACATGTTAACTCACAATATTCTCTGCTATTTTTTCATGGTTGGTAAGGTATGTCCTTCCCTCTGTTCTCTTTCTTGACTCCTTATAGACCCTTGCTTGAGAAGGTTCTTGCTTATCAGGATCTTGTTGTTGCTATGAAACATTATACATAAAATAGAAGTGATTGTGAAATAAAGATTATAACGATTGTGAAATAAAGGTTATAATGATAATAAAATTGTCTAGAAATGAGATGAATGATTTTACCAACTCATGGCGCAAAATTGCATACGAGTTACGGCCCATAGTGTGCATATTATCTAAAATTAGGCGATTGTCTTTGTTGATCTTACTGATTTCCTATGCGATAACACAATCAAGATTTAAAAATTTGAACCACTTAAGTAAATCATAAAAACAATAAACTGAAAGAGGCTATTTACGTCATGAAACCATGTAAATATTGCACAAATCAATTCAAAACCATATACATAATACCTCGGCCTCTTTAGAATGCCAATATTGCAAAAGCTCTATGAATTGAGGTTCTGAAATTGTGTATGGCTTATGAAACCATCTTAAAGCATTAGTGGGATATGCATAGAAGTATTTCTTCTTAGTCAAGCATTTATGAGCTTTCCAGCTTCCATTGATAGCCTACATCACCCATTCTCTTCCAGCTCCAGGAACCATATACTTTTCCTAAACAAATCATGAATATATAATTAATTAATGGTCTAGTAACAAAATATGAATCATTTTTTAAAATGAAATTGATAGGGTAAAGTCATATCCCCTAATCAAAAGTAAATACCTAAGTCCTCTAACTAAAGTAGTTAGGGAAGTAGGGTCGAACTCCACAGGGAAACAAGTCTTTTTACTCCTAATTAATTATTATAATCTAAATTATCTAAGTAACCAATATTTTTAAGAATAAATTCTATACTATGAAGAATAAGTTTAGGGAGAAAAACAATAATAAGAAGGCCTAGGGTCACAGGTTCACCAATAATTAATATTCTGGGATAAAACATAATAATTAATAATTAACATTGCACAAATAACATGATTAACAGGCTCTCGCAATTTATTAATCAACATAGATCTAACAGGCTCTCGCAATTTACTAGATCTAAGTTCCTATTAAAAATAGCCTTTAATATTAAATTAACATCTGCTCGATTCATCAATTCAATATTGCTAAACATTCACAACCAAATTACATTTGCTCGATTCATAATCTAATTGCAAAGAATTAAAACAATTCAATAAGAAATTATCATGCAATACCAATAATCAATAATAACAAATTATCCCTTCATATTAATTATGGATCCCCATAAACCCTAGAATGAAACTACTCACACATAATCATAACTAAACTAATCAAATAAATAAAACAAAACATAATCAAATAAGTAAATGAAATAGCTGAAATTAAAGGAGAAGAAATTGTTACCAAAGGAAATCTGAATTAATGGAAGTAATTAAGAACAAGAGTTGAGAGAGAATTTAAGAGAGAGAAATATCCTAAGTAGAGAGAGAAAATCTAAAAAAAGAAGGTAAACCAACATTACGTACATAATTCGTATTTAAAAATTCCCCAAAACAAAAATTAAAACTAAACTAATCTGGTCTGAGAAAAACACGCGCCCGATCGAGCGAAGGGCCGCCCGATCGGGCCCGCCTTTTTTGCTTTGCCCGCTACTGGTATGCCGCGCCCGATCGAGCTATGCTCACCCGATCGGGCACGCCTCTTCCTTGAGGGTCCTTATGCGCGCAGCCGGCCGATCGGGCGTATGCTTGCCCGATCGGGCCCGGTCTTCTTCTTCGAGGCTCGGATTTCGATTGGGCTCAATTCCTCGGCCCAATCTAAGTTTCCTATTCGGGTCTTGATTAAACGATCCAATAACCTCGGTATCTCATACCGAGCCCTTAATCATCGGCTCTCACCGATCTTGGGCTTCAAAAGTGGCCGTGTCCTTCTAGCTTCCGTAGTTGATCCATAAAACCCGGGAAAATGCTCCAAAAGTGCAATTTCCTGTAAAATACAAATAAAACTACGAAAACACTAGAAAACACAAATTAGTAATAAAAGTGGCTCGAAAGAGCCAAAAACACTACTAATTATGACCAAGGAACGGGGGTAAATTACTATATAAAATGGACATATCAAACTCTCCCAAGCCAAACCTTTGCTTGTCCCTAAGCAAAGAGCTCATCAATGAATTATAAAGCATGCCTCACCCCAATAATCAAACCAAGCATAAACGATTCAAGGCAAATCTAATGAACGTGCTTCAACATCAATCAATCTTATTCATCTAATCACCCTTCCTCCCCAACAATTGTCAAATAGAGCAAACCACAAGAGCATATAGAATTCAGGACTAGTTCTCACACACTCAACTCTCATTTAATGTGGCGAGTAAAAGATGTACTCGATTGCTCTCCAATCAACCCCTTTAATTGTGAACAATGCACACCCATCTCACACTCTCGTGTGTTTAAAACAATGAACGCTCAACCTACTAGTCGACTCAAAATATGTCAAGTCATAACTTGCATTGATAAACAACACTTTCACATTTACACAAATCTATGCACAAGGTCAGAAGGTCTTTAAAGCTTGTAATGTAGGGCTAGGGTAAAGGGTAAGATAAATTTGGGAGTATGTGAGAGAAAAGCCATGCATTAAGGGAGCCAAATCCTAATAAACCCATGAGCAAAATAAATGATGATCATACATCTCCATCAACATTACTAACTCCAACAAGAATCCACCAAATACAACTCCAAACAATATAAACAATCCCAACACTTACAACTTTCACTCATAAAATATGATAATGTAGAACTTGAGTGAAATACAAACTTTGAACTCATTCTCTCTTTTTTTTTTTTAATTTTCAAACTTGAATTTTTTTTCCTTTTTTTCTTTTCTTGAACAACCTTCAAAGAGAACATTTGAACATTAAATTTTTTTCCTTTTGCCCTTTCTTTTTTCTCTTTTTAACTCATATTGGAAATTTCAACTTTGTAACACAACATATCAATATTTTCCAATCAAAAATCAAAGAACAATCACTCTTCTTTTATTCCCACATTGTGCAAATAATGTGCACACCACAACTCCCTCACCTCACCAACTAATATCTCCCCCAAGCCAAGCTTGGGACTAGTAACCAATGGGGATCATATAGGCTTGTAATGTGGCTAAATAAACAATAAAAGGGCACAAGCAACAACATGGGTAACAAGAAGGGAACAAATGTATCTAATAACGTCTGAAGGCTATCTAGAAGAATGAACGCCTTCGTCCTCTTCATGTGCATAATAATAAGTTATGAAACACTACTCATAGTTGCAAATTAATACTCAAATTCATTGACATACCAGGAATTATGGAACTATCACACATTCCTAACCAAATCAACTAGTCAAGCACTATATTCACAAATAGTTGGCAAAATTGACGCATGTTTAGGAATCCAAACAATTAGACTTCAAATCATGACCAACAAATCCACAATGCTCATTATCAATAACCAAGAATCAAAACAAAATTTCTCAAGTAAGGGGCATAGGGAAGCATGATTTACAATTCATTGGAACGTATTTTTGTATTTTTCATATATAAGAAAGCAATAAAAACTACACTAGGAAAGCAATAAATAGAGAAGAGAGAAAGAAAGTTACCATATATACAAGAAATCTCCCCCAAGACAAATCAAGCAATGCCCTCATTGACTTGAGAGGGTAGCTAGGAGGAGCTACTCCTCATCGTCATCCATCCTCTCATATCCTCCTCCATGGCTCGAGCCGGCACCACCCTGGCTCGGTCCAGCACCACCATAACCCGAACCACCTGCAAA